AATTAAAAAGTGAACATTTTTTGTATTTAAAGTATTTCAAAATTTTTAATAGTTTTCCGGATACACGCAGTATTATTTCATATGGCGCTTTCAGTGCTAATATACGAGAGAAAAATCATTGGGTGGCTTTGATAAAAATTTACTGTGGAAAATGCCATATGAAATACAAAACTGGGAATATCAGCGTAACCGTTAAAAATTTTGAAATACTCTAAATGCAAAAAATTTTCATTTTTTAATTCTCCATCTATTGAAAAAATAATATCCCTGTATATTATGTTATGTTCCATTTAAAAAAACAAAGAAAAATTATTTTATATTTTAGAAAGTTTGGTGTAGAATTTTGAACATCCTGTATGATTTACGATTTCCATAGTACAGACCATCTAAAGTAAATATCTAATATAGTTTTTGATTTCAGGACAGTTCTTGTATTATTAATATCTCTGAAATTATCGAAATATATTTACTCATGTCTTAAAATTATGTAAAGCGATCTAAAAGGAAGCCAAAAATGCAATAATATACAGGGTGTTCCATTTTAAAAAAATCATCCCAATCCACTCATACTTTTTTGAGCCACCCTATAGAAGTTAAAATATTTTCCTGAAATACATGCTAGTACATACTTTTTTTACTTTTTTTTTAATTTGCACTTAAATAGAATTCCCAAGTTTTTTAGTCTAGGAGCTACAGATGCCCGACGCACTATTGCCGGACCCTGTAGGACATAATTTTTGTTCAAGCAAAGCATGAGAAAAAAATCACATAATCTATCTATAAATAATATATTTATTAGTTATTTAAATTAATCCTATTAAAACTTTTGACGTCTTGAGAAACTGACATTAATATAAAATTACAATTACACTTTAAATTGATAATACTACGTAGGGCCTGTAACAAACTTAAAAAAAAATAAATTTTATAGGCAGGTAAAATTATATAGGGCCTGTAAAATTTTATAGGCAGCAAGTGGTGTAGCAGTACCAGTGTGGTGCCTGCAATGACTAATAATTTTCTATACTTATGCAAGTTCGTTTTGCAATGTTTCCATATTTTTAATTAAGAAATGCGAATGTGCATTATCAATAACTCCTAATTGGCATTGTGCACGTGCTATAATGAAAATCTTTATCTCGTGTATAATGACTACTGATTTCTTCAGAACTAAAATTTAGTTCATATCAAATAAACTTTTAGTCACGTGATTAAGCTTGACTAGCACAGTTTTTCTTTTAATTAAAATATTTTAGGAAACAAAAATGAATTAATTATAAATACTTACGCAGTTATTATTTACATCAACAAACCTCACCTCCTTAACAGCACTTAAGGGGCATAAAGCGCCATTATTACCGCTTTCCCGCTCAAAATAGTCTAGGTTGCGATGAGTTTTTTGCTTCGGCATCTTATGCACTTTGCACTACAAGCGGTTCTTTAAAAGAACAATTTTCGACTGCAAGGTCTGCTAGTGAAAAATTTTAAGTTTGAAGTATCATAATACAATTCACTTAAACAAAAATTCGCAATACAAAACTAAAGTGTCAAAACAACTCAAAATGCCAGGAAATAAATAAATAAATGTAGCAACTTGGATTTTTTATAACAGAGCTGCCACCTGAATCGCCAGCGGAAAATTTAAATTCCAGTTAGTTAACCCAGCGTCGAATATGTCCTTGGTTGGCAACAATGTATTTAATAATTGCACCTAATTGAGAGACCCCTGTATAACAGTAGCAACTTCAATAGAAACCTACTTAATAAAATTATATGAGGGATTATTATGATTATTCCCTTATTATACATTTAGTATTGACATCAAAAGTTCATATCATTTATTTTAATTTCTACACAGTTTCGTTGTAGGTTTCGTGGTAGATATAGATTAGAAAAACAGTCTAATTTCTTGTTAGTAATTAAATGACTGTTTACTTTGTCCCTCAGGTATATTAGGAAAATTTCATTACTGCTAATGCTTTTGCATTGTTGTTTTAGAAAGAAATTGGAAACAAAATGCAACTAAGTATTACAATAATAATTGGTTACATTTATCTCAAATCAGTCCTTGGACATATACCACTTTTTGCATGTGTTAATAGATTGGGCAATATTGCAAACTAGATTAATCTGGTTTTGAAGTTTAGATTAATCTGGTTTTGAATTAGAAATGTGCATAAAATGAGCTCACGCATTTTTGCTGATAACAAGATTTACGCACTTCAGAAAATGCGTTGTTTGCTCTCATCCAACATTTATTAAAGTTTGCATTAGTTATTTTTTATGACGTTAGCAATTTTTCGCTTTAATTTATACTTCTCCAATCAAATTAGCTAATTTTGGCTATCTCCACTAAACCATACCTACTTACATTATTTTCAGAATTATCCTATCTTATACTATATTTTCCAATTTTATCTTTTGTATTTTTCTTGGCCTCAATAGCACCTTCGACGTTGAAGGAAGACTGACTGTGCCACTGTGAAACAATAAACCTTTATTATTACTGTATTAATTCGTAATTAATAAGACTCTGGTTTACTTACTTTGTCAATGGGTAAACTGACATTTCAACTTATTAATTACCTAATAATTCATTATTAAACGGTAGTTTAATTAATGTTCTTTTGTTTACATCATGTATGTATGTTGCCTAGGTGACTTATAATTAACAAACCTTTCTGGATAAAAGATTGAAGTTATTTTTGTCATTTCAGGAAATATGGCGGAAAACTGAAATTTTCGGTTTTAGTTTTTGTTCTTTTACGAGTTTATTTGATAGAAACAATCTATAAACACATTCGCAAAGAAACTTTTTTAGCTTTGTGCTTTGGTGACGTGAAAAATCACTTATGACGTTTTGTCTTTCTGAAACTATCCTCAACTTTATTTTTCATCAAATATCATTTCAAAATATTGTTTCTAATATTGATAATAAATATTATTTCAAAATTAATGTATATGATTTTGTCGAGTAGAGACGAAAGCACTTCTCAAGAATAGACGAGAAATGAAAACTGACAATAGCATACATTGAATAAAATACAATTAGAAAGAGGATTGCAAAAGTCAACCAAAACTACAACGAAAACTTGCACAAACTGTAATCGAACACAGAAAAAGCTATAAGGTAGGGAGGCAAAACAAAGAAAAACTTCTACGCTTTCTGCAAGTCTAAGGTATTTTTGTCATGTAATTCGAATGGGATAAAATGTAGTTAACACGCCGTTTCTAGCATCATATTGTAAATCTGTGTATGTTGTTTGCTATGCCACCTCTGGTTGCAAATCTTGAAAAATGGATAAAATGCATTTAGTAAGTCTGCTCCTCATATGTATTTCAGTCAGCTTAGCTATTCAAGTGTGCTAGAAACACTCGAAATAAACGTGGTCAGTCATTCAATCTTACTCATGAGATATCCGATCTCATACAAGCTCTAATCGTCATGAATGAGAAGTTTGTGGTCAATGGATTTAACACTTTAACACGAGACATACCAACACCAGGAGGCATTAGACAAGGAGACAGCCTTCTTATTCAATCTTTTAATGGACATTATCATGGTAACCTTGATGAATATCGGTTGTCGAATGGGACACAACAGAGTTGTCATGGTGTGTTATGCTGATAATGCAGTCATTATCGCGGAGACAGAGGACGATATGCAGAGACAGCTTCATAAATTCTATCAAGTAAGCCGAGAATTAAATATGATTATCTCTACAGAAAAAAATAAATGCTTAACTTTCTCTAAAGAGCCGGTAAGAGGCAAAGTAGTAGTGGAAAACAAAATTATTGAGCAATTATCACAGTTTAGATACCTAGAAATTAATATGTCCTCTACTACCATGGTCCAGAGAAAGATTTGAGAAGCCAAATAAACAGAGCAACGGCCATGTCAGGATGTCTGATGCAAATAGTGTGGACAAACCTCTTCGTCCATGCGAACAGACAGGAAAATTAAAATTTATAAGACATGCATCAGGCCAATAATGACATATGTTAGAAATCCGAGAGGAAACAAACAAAACCAAAATGGGAAATGTTAAGAGTCGCTGAAATGAACCTAAGAACCATAGTGGGTAAGACTAGAAGAGACAGAATTAGAAACACAAATATCAAACAACAATGTATATATGAGGAATACAGGACGTAGTGAGATGGGGTAGGCAAAGAAAATGACAATGGTTTGGACACGTAAAACGCATGGAAGAAAAGAAACAGGCTATCACGCATAGCTCTTGAAGGGAAGCCCATTGGTAAGAGACAGCCGGGAATACCTCCAAAAAGATGGAAAGACAGTTGGCAGTCTCCCAAGAACTCCTACAGAGGCAACCTTAAAACTAACAGATCGACTAGATCTCAAATAAGTAGAAGAAGAAGGATTTAATACCCTAGTTCTGGAATGGAACAACAATACGACAGAGTTTCCAAACGTTCACCCGTCCATATAATCTTTCACATCGTCTAAAATGTGTAAATAATAGTTGACATGGAGTGATTAATTTAGATGTCAAAAATAATTAGGCGTCTGACGTGTGACACCAATTCAATTTGTATATAAACTTTTTTATTTTTCCAAGGTCATTTTTGATATTCTAATGTTCCAATGCCTCCAAGAAAGCAATGACTCGATATCTAAAAATATCAATAAAACTCAAGTAAAAAGATGACAGCGGAGTTGTTTCTGTCGCACTTCGTTCCATTCACTGCCTTTGGTTTATTTTCGACTCACCTTTATGTATATCTGAGATTTTGCCAATTATAAACGATTTTCTCAGACGCCTACCAACTTCCATCACTTTAATCGATATTTAAATTTGTTTATTCTTTCTTGACGTGACACGCATTTCATTATCTAATAATTAAGCAATGAAATATTTTTCTTGACCAATTTAAAATACATTTTTAAAGTGGTTTCGTTCGTAGTATGATAGAAATTTCGAAAAGATTAAAACTTAATGAGCTATTAGCCAACGGTTTATCGCGTTAGGGTTTATTTGTTTATATTTCGTAAATGTTAAAGATAGTAAAGTGTTCATACAATAGGAGGTTTCATATTTTAGTAGTTGCACAGTTAGTCTAGTTTGCGGATGCAGTATTAGAAATTCGTTGTGATTGTGATAATTTACTATTGTGCGGTGGTTAGTAAGTACGACATAAGTTATTATATGTAATACATTCAGATGCAAAAAACGCAACGGAGAAATTTTTGGTCAAATTTTTAAAGTGTTATATTTTTGTTATTTTTAACCCTATTTTCATGATTTTTTTAGCAAACTGTATATAATTATATCAACTTTATCAACAATATCATTTGTAGTAAACTAAGTTTTTTATAAACTTTAGTATTTGGCATATTATACAGGGTTAATCGAGGTGTTGTTTTTTTACCTTAACTTTAAAACACCCTGTGCAATAATTTCGTATGTAAATTTTCCTAAAATATAATTTTACTGTCAGAACCTGAGAATTTTGTTTTTTGATTCATGTCAATACATCCTTCGGTTAATTATTAAGAGCGAAATGAACTGATCGCGACCAATTTGCATTTTTTTCAATCTATTATTACTTTTTGGTGTCATTTGTTAATATGCCGAGATGGTTTTGGAGATTGTTGTCGTAACGTAATATTACGCTGCCACTGGATACTCTATACTAAATAAAAATACGTTAAAGACTAACGATACAGTCGTGTTTTTTTAGTAGTATAGCAAGTCTACAAACAGAAAAACAAATTGTAAAATATACCCTAATACTTTGTGATGCCTCCCTTGGCTGCTATAACCACACTATAACTGCCTGCATACCTTCGTTTATACTGTCATTGAGGCTGCATATATCTTTAAGAACCAAGCCAAGTTCATTTAATGAAGCTGGTACCGCCTCGCGACCTCTAACCCTCCTGCCAAGCATTTCCCAAACGTCGAACATGATGGACAGTTCGTATATAGTTCACAATAATCACCAAAGCCGGCTTGCCATACTGAAAAATAACTTGTCATACGGAAAAAATTGCAAATTGTTGGTGGCAAGATCATTTCACTTTTAAAAATTAACCTAAGCATGTATTCACATGATCCAAAAAACAAAATGCCACTGAGATATGGTTCCGACCGTAAAATTATATTTTAGGAAAATTTACACACGACATTATTACACAGGGTGTTTTAAAGTTAGGGTAAAAAAGCACCCCTCAATTAATCCTGTATTATATTATGCCAAATACTAAATTTAATAAAAAAACTGAGTTTACGAATTAAAGTTGATATAATTATATACAGCTTGCTAAAAAATTCATGAAAATCGGGCTAAAAATAACAAAAATATAACACTTTAAATTTCACCAAAAATTTCTACGTTGCATTTTTTGCATCTGAGCGAGGGGTGTCTCACTCGAGTAAAAAATGTACATGTACTGCCAAAATATCCTTCCGCTGCTAAGCGACTGCCAATGACTATGAAGAAGACTGCCTATGACTGCCATGTAATTATTATAGGCGACTGCCATAAGACTGCCAATGACTGCCAGCGACTGCCAAGAAAATGTACATGTAATTCCAATAGTGAGACACCCCTCGCATCTGAGTGTATATGTATATGTAGGTAATATGCAAAATTAATGTCGAAATTTAAATACTGTAATAATTATAATAGTAAAATATTTTATCTACATCCACAGTTACAATAGTAGGAGTTTTATCCAATCATATGAAGCGTTTAAACTGATAATTTTATCCACTATATTGTTATTATTGTTTATAAAACAAATTTATTACACTAGACAAATAATTTTTTATAATGTCTTTTAGACTTCACAGGCAGTAAATAGCAGTTGTTTAAAAAATTACTGCAGGAATACCATCATACCAGTGTTTTATCACAAAAGCTCCGAATTTTACGTTCAGTATTAGCGAATGATTCCATTGCAAATTATAATAAATGTCAAATGATTCCCAACTTTCACAAATTATCTGGCGCGTTTGGTTGCAGGATAAAACATGCCTAATCCAACTTTAGAACACTCGCCAAATGCGGCCTTAAATAAAACAGTATTAGCCGAATACATGAAACTGCCTCTTCCCGACGGAGTATGCCAGGCCACTTATATCTGGATCGACGGTACAGGAGAAGGACTCAGAGGGAAAACGAAAACTTTGGATTTTGTACCAACCAAACCTGAAGGTAAGAAAATACTTTGTATAGTAATTTTATTATATTTTGTAAATTTCGCTCCTAACATTCCTTTTATAGAAAAGGTACCGGATTTAAGTGCCTTATTAATTAGTGATGGGATAACTCGAGCGAAAACTCTCTCGAGTACGCGATTATTGAAATAACCGACACCGCTCGATTATGAACGAGCGATGCAAGTGAACGAGCGACGAACGCAAGCGATCCTAGCATGAAATAAATTGAAATCCGATTTTAATGTAACATACTCGATAAAAAGCCGAGCAAATTTTCTACATACATTGCAGGTACCAAATTTATACAACGCCGTTATATATTTATCTTTTGCGTATCCGAGGGACAAAATTTTACGACCTACATCGACAATGCTTTGAAATAAACTAAAAACTAAAGCAAGCGATCAAGCGAATCGCTCGTCGCTTGCTACTTGCCATTCATCACCGAAAGAATATGTGCCCTGCGCACGCAACTTACTGATTGGCGCTTGGCGTTAACGAGTACTTACAACAAGCGACGGGCGAAAAAACGTATTTTTAAATACGAGCGATATTTCGCTCGAACAATTGCTCGGTTATTGCAATTGCTTGAAACGCGGGTACTCGATTATTGAAGTTAATCGGTTTTTCCCATCACTATTATTAATCCATGATTGCAAGATTACTTTGACTTCTTTTTCGAATACATAGCCATTAATGGATGTTGCGATATAATTTTTTATTTCTTCTCTATTCCCGGCGCCGGCGGTGTGTATTAATGACTCGTACAGGGTGTCCGAATATCGCAGGCTTTCTCAGGGAGTAGAGCTCAGGGAGTAAAGCTACAAATATGCGGTTTTCACATCATTGTGCTATTTTGTTATGAAACTAAAGATGCTACACACAAATTTCTCCTGGCCTTCTCAGTTCTCGAAATACAGGGCAAAATTAAAAATGTTGCATTTTTCGACCCTCTTTGTACCTCAGATATCTTCTAACTTATCGAAAAGGTGAAAGCTGAGTCCCATAGAGTTTTTCAGGTAGAATTCAGTGGAGTATCTAGATTTTTGCTTCGAGCTCTCATTCCATAAATATATCCAAAATGTATATTTTAAATGGGATAAAAAAACATTACTGTTTATTGCTTTCTTTTATGTTATTTGCCTTGTTATGGGAGTTTTTTAAAAATATAACATACTCTATACTTATTTTAATAAACAAGGTAAAAAATGTATTATTTAACTTAGGCGGCCGGTTGAAAAGAGGCAATCAAAACAATCGAATAATTTATTCGACGTTAAATTTCCATTATTGACTATTCCACGCTAGTTTCTGTGTGTAGAATTACTGCACAAAATTGCTTCAGAATTCTCAATAACTCTGACTGAATGTTATCTAAAAGTTGCACAAGCTTATTTTCAGTGCAGTTTATTAAGAGAAAATGATGGAAAAAGGATAGCAAGATTATCTGGTTAAATTAAGTTAAATAAAATGGTAATACCGAGGGTAATACCCTCTTAAAATAGGTTTATATATACTGGGTGCGTCTCAAAAGCGACTCACTCCTATAACTTTTTTTATTTTTTCACATAAAAAAACGAGATTTGGTATGTAATATTGTAGTAGGTAGTATATGACATAAATTAGGATTGATTGACGATTTCAATAATTTTTGGTCACTTATGATATGAAATTCTATTCAGCGTGTGTTATTTTCTATCGATTAAAGTAAAAAAATACCGAGGGTGCCATTTAAAAATCAAAAGTTGTAGTTATTTCCGGTAAAACAGGAAGTTACCGAAAACAATTGAATATGTCAATCAATCCTAATTTATGTCATATATTAACATACTAAATCTCGTTTTTTTTACTCAAAAAATAATAAAGTTATAGAGGTGAGCCACTTTTGAGACGCACCCGGTATATGTTAAAAGTTTAAAAAATGCATTGCTTATCTTGTTTATGAAAATAAGCATAGAATATATTATATTTTTAGAAAGCTCATGACAAGGCAAATAAAATAAAAATAATAATATACAGAGTGTTCGATTCAACAAACTTAAGTTTATGTTTAAAACAGTTACGCCGCCACTGGTTTCTACATAAAATATTCTACGGGACTCAATTTTTACCTTTCGACAAATTATAATATAACCAAGATACGAAGAGCGTCAAAAATGCAACATTTTCAAATTTGCTCTGTTTTTCAGAAACTAAGGAGTCTAGGACAAATATGTATCAGCAGCCTTCATAAAAAAGTAACACAGTGAAAACCACATCTTTGTATATTTACTCATAAATACACGAATAATTAAAAAATAAATAATTAAAAAACTATTTACTGCGAAGTTTAAAAGTTTTCATTAAAATATAATTTTTATTAGTAGGTCGTGATTGATAATAAAAGAAACAATAGAATTATGAAAAGACTAAAAGTATTGCTATCTCTCTCTTGTTTTATTTCGAGTACCACTATTAAATTAAAAAAATTAAATATATCATGGCAACTACAAAAATGTCGATGCCTCTGTTCTTCTAGCTTGTTGACCCTTTAACTAGCGACAACAAGATCGTTGCACATGGAATTTGATTGCTTTTATTAAATATTTTTTTTTTATATTAATTGTCAAAATCTTGAAAAATAATACTCTAATATATTTTAGGTATGACTTTTTGGAATAATCTTAATAATACAAAAATATACCTAATATCATCTCTCTTTGTATAATCAGGTACCTACCTACTTGTTTACATTATCAGTAACATATTTTATATTATTGATAATAAAGATCACATGATCAGTGTAATGAACGTTTCAGATAATTTGTAATAGAAATATCCAATATGAAAAAATAAATCACTTGAAAAATTATGTCTCTGAAAGATAGATACTGTCTTTTTTGAATTAAAATATACACTTATATTATTATAGCGTTATCTGAAGCAAAGTTTATTAAAAAATATTTAAACTGTAAAGGTGCATTCAGGCTGATCGCGTCGAGCGTCGCGTCGCGTCGCGTTTGCGTCGCATCCGCGTGTCCAGATGGCATCAATTCACTAAACAAGACCGTTCAGGCAGACAGCGTCGCGTTTGGCGTTGCGCTAGCGTCCGCTGAGCGTCGGGGTTCGAGATCAATGGGGCGGACGCGACGCTCGACGCTCTCAGCCTGAATGTACCTTAAACATTATTTGAAGTGTGGGGGGAATCCAATAATAAATTTTGAAATTAATATTACATATATTTGAATATGGATAAGATAAATTTAGAATTGTTCGTATCTTTATGTTCAGAAATTAAAAATATACATAATGTGAAATATGATTTATATTTGTTTTAACGAGATAACGTTTCATTAACGTCAATAAAAGTATTACCAGCTGTTTTAAACTTAAAAAATCACGTTGTTTTATTATATCCAGAAATTTATTATATTTAAATTTCGAATTAATATAATTTTAACAATAGATATTATCACAGGTAACATATTATATTATGTGTGATATCAAGGGTTATTTTTAGCTCTTGTAAACTCATCTTAAAATTCTTGGAAACTGTAATACCGATATATCTTTCTACAATATTTGCTTCATAAAAAAATGAACTTAGTCTTAAAACATAATTGATTAAACATAGTTATTATTCTTAAATAAATGTTTATAAAACCTTTATAGCTGGTTTGTTACTGTAATTTTCGAGGAATCGGCACTATTATTAAAAGAAACTTTAAATAATATATATTTTGTGTGTAGTTAGTTACAAGCACTAAATTGGTTGGGGTTGAGAATATGTAAAGGTAAATTGGCGTTGAGAATCCATAGATTCATTTTTTATTCTACATACTTTGGATTGAAGGGTCCAGAAGAATTTTAGTCCTTTCCGTTCGTGAAAGATTCAGGGGAATAACTTGATAAGCGCTAATTTCTTAATTTTAGGATTTTACAATATTATAGTAGGTCTAACTGGTCACTACAAAATGTATAAATTCTGCAGGGCAATAAGTTTTTTAATCCTATGATATATGCCTAGTAAAAATGTGGAATACACGGAAAGAACATGATAACCACCAGACTTCCGGTGCTCTCCTGTAAATTTAGTAAAATGGCGGTTATCATGTTTTCCCCTGGACCCTTCAATTGCAACTATACAACTATACAATCTAAAAAACGGCGTTAAAGACGGCTGGGAAATGACAATCGATGACAACTTTGGAGATAATATCAACCCTTAGATGTCATTTCCTAGTCCCGTACTCTTCTTAATTTTTTAATGGCGCTTACTGCCAGTTGGCGTTAAGAAGGTTGTAATTTATTTTGATATTGTGTAAAAATGATTATTAAATGGTGTTGTAAAAAACTGCAGCAAAAGTCGCCTATTCCTATATAAAATTCACTACAAATTAGGTACGTTACTACAGCAAAATCCGTCTTATCCACTTATATTTGCTATTTCTTGTCATTATTGTTGCAAATCCCATATTTTTTAGAGGTTTTTTACACAAGTATAACATTACTACTGACGTCTTGTCGATTTCAAATCCTTTCCTAGTTTTAAGGAATTACTGATTTTATTTTAAGGAATTATTGATTTATTAATTATAATATTTGCATATCTAATAAATCAAGTTAGGATGCAAATATTGTGGTGTAGCAAAACCGGCAATATGCATCGCACTGCAACAAAACCCGCCTTAAACAAATTATGTTTGTGTTTTTTCTCTTTAAAAAATAAATATTAACTTTTGTTTCTAGAAAAACTAGATACAAAACAATGATTGCACTCAATGGACACGTTTTTTTGTAAAATAACGCTTCAAACATTTGCTAAAACAATTATTGCCTATTTTCTCAAAACAACTTTTTTGAGATAAAACGGGTTTTGCAACTTGACGCCTTAATTATTGTTAAGCCGTCTTTGACGTCGATCATACTTGAAATAAAATATGTATATCCTAAATAACCTGTTAAATTAAGGTAATAGCACAGCCTATTCATTAGACAGCCAGTCGACTTTACTAGTTTTTGAATACCCGCGAACCCGTTTTTGAATACCCGAGTTCCATATAAGTGATCGTAAGTTATAAGTCGACTGGCTGTTAAAATATGGGAATTATATTTCCACCAAATCAGTTGCACTGTGCCAACACATCAAATGTTTACAGAACTTCCAATCTGGAACTACGATGGTAGCTCAACATATCAAGCAGAAGGATCCAATTCGGATACATACCTTTATCCAGTAGCCATATTTAATGATCCTTTCATCAGAGGAAACAATAAATTGGTTCTTTGTGATACCTACAGATACAACAAAAAACCAACGGATACAAATAAAAGGTAAGTTAATCATTTGAACAACAGTAAATTTTACTTGACACAATGATTAGAAATGAAAATATATGAGTGACAGTTACTATTTTTAACTTTAGTTTTAAAGTAAGTTGCTATTTCTGTCAATTTTTGGACATCGTTTGTTGAAATCGTGCTGTCTTTTAATACCAGTCATAGGATTTAATAAGTTTATTAATACCAGTTTTTGTGACATAAAATCAAATAGTTTCGAACCTTTGGTGTTACAGTTCTAATTTATACAAATCCATCATAAATTACCAAAATACCTTTTTAAATTCTGAATGAATATCTCGCTAAAACGAAAGCCTTATCATCCATCATCAAGAGCTGCAACAAATCGGTTTGAAATAGACATTAAAGTCAATTCTAAAATAAAATGATTTAAATCTAAACATAAAGTTTAATCGATCTAAATCTTTGATATAAATCATTTTTCTTTTAACTCATTTTCGTAAAATTTAAATCAAGATAAGGAAATTTAAGTCGTCTTTATGACTTAAGTCTATATTTTTTATTTAAATCATGATGATGATCTGCAAGTTAAGTCGGCAAAATGACGAAAATCATAATAATTGTTAGATTTGTGATTAAGTTTATTTATTTGATTGTGTGTGTGTGTGTGTGTGTATTATTTTAATAATTGTTGATAATGAAATTTAAAATTTTATTAATTTAGATTCTGATAAAAGCCTAGATCGGGAATAAAAGTAAAGCTTTAATGGCATTAATCATTAAAATATTAAAATAGTAAATCTTTTCAAAAATCAGTTGTTCAAAAATTATTGAAATAGGTTTCTCATCGAATAACTATAATGCACAAACTAACTATGTCGATAACACTTAACTATATTTTAACTTCTTTTTAATTTATTCCTTGTTATTGTTGTTTTAATTTGTAACATGGTATTATTGTATCGATCGATATCTTGAAACTTAAATGGATATATTCCTTAAGCTACTTAGTGTTTAACATTGGTTTTCAACAAACTAAGTTTTTTTCAAAAATGTAATTTTAATAATTGTATTTTGATTTGTAAGTAGTTATACTTTATTTAGTTCCAGAATATAGGAAATAGTATTACAGGAAAAATAATAAACTGCAATCATAAATCTAGTGATAATAATTTTTGAAATGGATATCTTGTTAACAAAGGAGTTACAGGATAAGCTTAATTAATAGCTCATATAAATATGCTAACATTAGATAAGCTTATTTTTAAGTTCTTCCTATACGTTGTTAATTGATTCTTTTGCTATAAATATTTAATGTTTACAGTAATAACACGATATACTAGTCTAATATTGACACGCTCTAGATTTTTAACTTGGATCCAGTTTTGAGTAGTTTTTGGAAATAAATTGACGTCATATATTAATCAGATTCAATTAACTTCAATTATTGTTTTTTACTATTTTTAAAAAATACATTCCAGTAGTATATCGGTTTATACTGATAACACGAAATTATTTCACATTCATTAAATCAACATAGAGATTGGACATACATATTTACAACGTGAGAAATTCTATATAATATACAGGGCAAGTCTTAAATAACTACAAATATTTTAAGGTTGATATCTTTCGAACACGTCAATGGGTTTTTATTCGCGAAAAATGTTGAATATTTTGTTTCTAAAAAAATTGATTTTTTACATTTTTTTTCAGTTAAAAAACATTATTACTTGATAATATGGCAAGCAGTAGGTTAAGTTTAGAGGAATAAAAACAGAAAAAATCTAGTGGTTCTCAACATTTAAACTAGAAAATGTATTTTTTTATTTTCAAAATAAAATATCTCGGCCCATTTTGGATATATTTTAAAAACAACAAAGAGAAAATATATATCTTTTCACAATACACCAAAACACTTTTGCTTTTACACTGGACGCGCGTTTCGCTAACCATGTTAGCATCATCAGCAGATGATTATAAACTTCAGTTTATAATCATCTGCTGATGATGCTAACATGGTTAGCGAAAAGTGTTTTGGTGTATTGTGGTGATTTAGTGTTTTTATTTTGCTGTGTAACACCAAAGGCTCCAACCCTCAACTGTAATATATCTTTTATCGAGATGTACCAGTTCTGAAACTACCTGCATTTATTTAAGACTGACCCTGTGTAGAATTGGAACTTTCTTTACTACTGTATGCATATTTATGAATAACGTTGGTAGCTACCCATGATTCCTATTAGGGTTTGCGGAACCGGAACTGTTTGGAGCCGGAAATTTCGGTATCGCGCCTTTAAGGAACTGAGATTTTTCGGTTTTCTCGATACTTTCGGTACTAGATAATTTTTATTCATTGATGTTCCAGTTTGTCAATCAACAATCAAAGCATGGTTGTGAAAGGTAAAATCGATAAAAAAAAATTGAGTTTTTTAATGAAAATAACATCAAGTTTTATTAAGTAATCAGTCATGAGAAAATCAACGCACAAACCCGAACGCAAGCAAAAAAAATAATATAGGTAACTTAAAGTTCACACCAAACAACATAAACGAACTTACAAACTTATCTAAATTTGAATACATCTTTTAATTGAAAATGCAAAAGCCCATAAAAACATAACATGACAGACCGTATGACAGCGTCAAAGACAGCTGGAGAATGACAATCAATGATAATTTTGGCGAGGTCAATCTCAAGGCGTCATTTATTAACACTAATTCTATAAAGATTAGAACAGGATAGAACGTTTCCAGAGCCCTACTTCAAGAAACCTACAAACCTATTTCAAGAAAGTTACTTTTCTCGAATTCTAAACTACCCATTTTAAAAATCATTTTGACTCAGTTTAAAAATAAAATACATAAATTAAAATACATATATATATTTGGGACAAGTAATACTTAAGTAAGTCGTGACTTACGAATGCGAAACCTGAACACTTAAAACGCACATCATAAGGAAACTGCAGGTCGCACAATACTCAATGGAACGAAAGATGCTGGGAATAACCAAGAGAGATCGTAAAAGTATAGATGGATACGACAAAAGACCTAGGTAATAGAAGTCATCCACAGAGTCAAATCCCTCAAATGGCAATGGGCAGGACACCTGGCAAAAAGAACGAACAACAGATGGACCACAAAAATTGCAGCATGGTACCCACGAGGAATTCACAGACCTAGAAGAAGACCGAACCTGAGATGGGACCATGATATTACGAAATTTGCAGGGATAACTTGGGCCCGCATACCCAACAATAGACAACAATGGGTTCAACTCCTGATCCAACTACAAAGAGAGTATCTAAATATTTGAGAGAGGCTACACCATAATTGGAAATGTTTGAACAAGCTGAAAATGATGATAACGACGTATATTTCAAAATAGAACAGAAGTAGGAACAATAAGAAATAGCATTGCTACTTATTTAGAAGAGTTTGATTTCGACCGCTAGAAAGTATCAAAGGAAAAAGTATCTACAACAAAAAAAAGATTTTTTAATTATTGTTACTGAGACCCAAAGCTTTCGGTTGGAGACCCAAAAAACCGGGAATTCCCGGTACTTTCGGAACCGCGATTTCCCAGTTCAGTACTCCAATTCCTATAGTTCAGGATTCAATAATGCAACCTGTTGTTGGTTGATATTTTTTGATTGCGCACTTACTTAAATTTATTATTGTTATATATTTTTAATGTCGCGTATAGCCAGTATAGAATATTACAATCTTACCGACATACATAATGATGGGGTCAACTTTCGTTTAGCTGAAATCAGTTATTAGAAAAAAAAAAATTGTCTTTAAAAAGCTACTGTGAACCACGGTAAAAACACAAATTTTCCTGCGGAAATGCGTAATTTCCAAATTTCACACTTTAGAATAACTGAAATCTGCTATAAAATAATACATTTTGCGTTTTATTTTTAATATTTTTCTGAACATATAAACACAAAAATTTTCCTGCGGAAATAAGCTGTTTTCATTTTCTAAGGAAATTTATTAGACTTTAGAATAGCTGAAATCAGTTATATAAAAATAAATATATTTTTGCCTTTTAGAAGCATTCACGAATTGAGGAAAATAAAAATTTTCCTGCGGAAATAAACTGTATCTATTTTCTGAGGAAATTTAATAGACTTTAGAATAGCTGAAATCAGTTATATAAAAAATAAATATATTTTTCCCTTTTAGAAGCGTTTACAAACTCAGCACCCCTATTCGTTCCCGGGTCCTGTAAGCTTCTAAACTGAAAAATGTATGAAAAATAAAGTGCACAAAATGACATTGACATATTTCCGCAAGAATTTTTTTGTATTTTTTTGCTCGTAAAGGCTCGTATAAAACAAATATAAGTTCATTTTTCATGTAACTGATTTCGGCTATTCTAAAGTCAAAGCATTTTTTTATGTAAAATAAAAATAAAAAAATTCCGCAGACACTTTTTTGTGTTTTTATGTTTAGAAAAATGTCTAAAACACGCCCCGAAGACTAGTTTTGATGTAACAGATTTCGGCTATACCAAAATCCGAAAAATGAAAATGACGCATTTCCGCAGGAAAATTTTTGTATATTTTTGTACTCCTAATTATTGTTATTATTAATATCACTAAGTAACGACTTTTTTCTACTTTTCTACTTGACTAATCATTGTCTTACACGTAACCATATCTGACATAAATTATTCTTGTAGAGCTTCTTGCTTCGAAGCGATGCAAGCAGCGAAAGACACCCATCCCTGGTTCGGTATCGAACAGGAATACACACTACTGGATATGGATTTGAGGCCTCTGGGTTGGCCTAAGAACGGGTTCCCCGGTCCACAGGGGCCCTACTACTGTGGAGTAGGCGCCAACAAAGTCTACGCTAGAGATATTGTTGAGTCTCATTACAGAGCGTGCTTGTACGCTGGCATCAAGGTTGCTGGTACTAATGCAGAAGTTATGCCCGCACAGGTAAATACAATTGTACTTTAATTTCCTAAAATATCAGGTGACAACAGTTGAAACAAAAAATGAATGAATATCGAATGATGTCTACACTGCATGAAAAACGAACACATTCAAATTTTCATATATTTTAATATTCAATATATTTTATTCTAGTGGATCGAAACTGATGATTTTTTGAACAAGTCGTATCTAAATTGTTTGAGTTTTTAGCCTGTTTTTACATTAAAAATTAAAGTCCTAGGGTTTTATACCACTTGCATTCTCTGTTACTGAACTAAAATGTTTACATCTATCTACACTCTACTACTACTACTTAAAATTTTGATATATTTTAAAGTTCTAGTGGGCCGATTTTGATGATATTTTAAGCAGTATGTAGCTAAATTATTTGACTTTTTAGTACATCTTTCTAAATTAAAAATAAGAAAATGTTGCTTTTTTGGTGAAAGTTTCAAACACTCTGTGGAATATGTTAAGACAGCAACGAATTTCAAAATATTATTTTATCATGTAGGTACAAGGTACATCCTTTCTCGATACTTTGTTTTTCGGTTCATCGGTTCATAATAGCTTTATTTTTGTTGGAGCTATTCGCTTTTGAAGAAGACACTAAAATTTTGCGTAGAAGACACATTCATTTTTATTATGGTGCGTTTAGACTTGAGCACGCACGAGCTGAGAGTGCGCGCACGGCATTCGTTCGGCTCCGTTCAAATTAAAAACTTATTTTTCCACGAATGAAGTGATCCATTTGTGCGCGCACAGCAGAGTTGTGTTGGCGAAAATAATGGAGGACCAAGAAATAGTCGAGGCTGCAGTCATTGTTATGCACAGCTTAATTATTAAAAAGGGGAAAAATCGAAAACATCGTTGCTGGTGGCAAACCCAAATTTTTAGAAATCGATATAATTTACTGCAACAACTTAGTGTCTGAGGAGGGCGGATCAGTTCAAAAACTTTACAAGAATGACCAGACCCGACTTTGATTATTTACAAAATTTAATAACACCAAAAATTACGAACAAAAGCTACAAATTTTTTGAATAGCAATTTCATTAATATCGACATATTCAATATTAATTTTATTTACAAGATCTTGCCATGCGTTTTTTTATTTTTTAATAATACAAAGAATGTTTAACATCCCATAATATAGGCAACTTTTCATATTCTTCAATTAATAATAACGAATATTCATTGATCCACTCCATAATTTTAATAAAGAAAACGAAAAAAAATCACACACGCACGCACGAACGCAGACAAAACAAATTGCCGGTACAAACTGAGCGTTCGCGCACAATCCCTTTGAGCACGGACCAAAAACCGACACCAGACGGCTCATGTTCGCGGCTTCTCGCGCACAGACAGATTCAGAGTGAGCGTGCGCGCACAGCCGTTTACACTTGAGCATTCGCGGAGGATAAATGCGTGCGTGCTCAAGTCGAAACGCACCAGTAAAACCAACCGATCCTAAAAATCCAAAATGATTCTCGTTTTGAAAACTACAGTTGCTGTTTTGTCACGATATTGTCTGTTCGCTGGAAATCCGCCTTTATTAATATCTAAATTTTCTAAAAGATTATTATATTTAATATACTCTAATCCGTAGAACACCTTGTATAAACGTTTATTATTGCATTTGCATAAGTTAGCTTCCGAAAAAGGCAAATTGACAATTATTGTTAAAATAAAAAAGACCGGTTTTTCTACATTAGTGGATTAGTAAGATTGTAGTTAATAATATAGATAAGTCATTAATTAAAAATGACAATCAATAAAAAGATACGTTTTTAATGGATGTGTTATTATGTAACACAATAATTAATCAATATTCCTAGACGAAAGTTAATTTTTTATAAACAGCGATCGATTATTTATAAAGCCGGTCTGAACACAGATTGTATTAAAAATTAACATAGCAGTGAAACGACATTTGGACTTATAGGCTTATAATTTATTTAAGTTAAAGTCCGCTTATATGACACGCATCACATTAGTGTATCATAGAATACAAATAGAATTTTATATTCCTCTATTTTTCTAATAATTGCTAGAACTATCGGCGGATTTTAAGAACTTTTATATTTAATAGACAACTATGGTGAATTTGTTTGATGTTGACACGGCATAAATATTATTTTTTATACTCAACTACCCTATTATAATATATGATTACACTATTATATGTATACGAGGTATTACGAAAGGCTCCAAATCATATGAGTATGTCACTTGTCACTTTAAGTGATGATATTTACTCGTAAAAGTGACAAATCTAGCTTGTCTAGCTTCTACTTCTTGGGGTGCCTCTTCTCAGCGAAGATTGGCGATAACCAGAGCGAATTCTTCTTGTCCTTCTGCTGTTCTGACGAGTCTTTGGACATTCATTCCTTTCAAATCCCTTATGTTGCTCATCCACGACATCTGTCTACTGTCTGGACCACGCTTCCCTTCAATTTTACCTTTGATGATAAGGTATAATAGATTGTATTTGTCGTTCCTGAGAATATGACCAAAGTATCCTGATTTTCTTTTCTTTATTATATTTAGAAGCTCTCTCTCTCTCTCTCTCTCTCGTGGGTTCATGCTATGTAGTACGGAGTAATTTGACATGTGCTCCGTTCAAGATATCCTCAGCATCCGACGAAATAACCACATTTCAAGGGCTTCTATCTTCCTCATTGTAGTCATTTTCAGGGTCTAGGATTCCATTCCGTATAAGAGCACAGAATAAATGTAGCACTTGACCATACGATATCGGGTGTTCAATGTTAACTCTTGTTACAAAAGAATGTTGTTGTTACAAAAGAACGTTTTGAGGAATGTGCTACGAGCTATGCTAGCTTTAACCTCTACAACTTGATCCGAATCCTCAGTGATCTAACATCCAAGATACCTGAATTTGACTACTTGTTTGACTTAGGTAGGCTCTGATTTGTTTGATTTTTCTATGTGATTGTGGTTTACTTTTATGTTTGTTGGCTGAGATGTCCTTCTTTAAAAATTACCATGACTTTGGTTTTTTCGAACATTGATGTTTATTCCGTATTCGTTCTCAGCTACTATAATTCTATTCAACAGCTCTTGTAAGGCAGCCTCTTGTCTAGTCTTGTCTAGCTTATTTTATACAATAATTTATCATTTTACAATTTAGTATATTTAATGTTTGTACAGGGGGAGTAAGAAAATACCCCAGAGTATTTTTAATAGAAATATGCCTGTAAACAGTTTTTAATATTTATTCTATGATTTAAAATCGTGGTCTACAAATAGTTATTTAAGTTTTTACATAGTTTTGCTCATTAGCATTAAAATGACATTTCTAAGCGCATTATTTCATGCCAATAAAAGATAATTTAAAATTCCTTGAATCAATTATTAATATTTTTGTTTACAAGTGTTAAATCTTAGAACAACTACAAATTACGCACGCTTTTTAACAAATATCACTTCTAATATAATCAACGAAAACGAATGAATATTCACCGGAATTTCAGCACCTTGTTTATAAACAAGTACCGTCATCAGCTGATCCTTATTTACATTTCATCCTGAGAACTTTGATTCTCTTATAAAACGTACGTGTTTGAAGAATTTTCTGAATTACTGAAAACTATAAAAGTTATATTCGTATTCGTGGCACGAATCCAAGTTTAAATGAATAGATTCCACAAAATTATCTTAGCTTATTATCTTGCTAAAAAATTTCGCTTTCGATGACTCGAACATAATACATTCTAAAAAACATAATTTGCTACCAGTTTATTTAAAATATCAAGCAAGTTACTTTGAATGGTAAAAAAATTGCATTAAACCGACTTTCTATATTTTTAAGGTAGGTCTGTAAGTGTTTATTTTTAACCATTTAGTAACAGATTGGAATATTTGTAATAAGGGGATTTTCACAGACAGATGTAGATATTGATACTTGATTCATTGGCGTACTTATATATATAGTTTGATTTTCTAGGAGACTTGTGTTAAGGAATAAAGGTGTTTTTAATTTTTTTGAATTTAGTATAACTAAGAAGATGTTTACAGTAATACTGAGTCTGTGGTCGGTTCTTTGCGAAACACGCTTTTAGGTATATCATATTTAATGGGAGTAACTTTATCTCTTTCTTTATCTTAAAACTAACCGTCTGACTACACTGTAACGGTATATATTTACTATGGGGGTGGGTTTAAAGGAATTTACAATAATATAATAATAATAAATGGGTTTAGAAATTCTTGTTGGTGGTTTACATTATTATCGTTTTTGGTTTGGCATTTTATTTCTCTATGTAGTAATTTAATTATTGAATCTTCATTAGTAGTGTGACTATTTAATACCGGGTGCGTCTCAAAAGTGGCTCACCCCTATAACTTTTATTTTTTGAGATAAAAAAACGAGATTTGGTACATACCAAATCTTACAATACCAAAATACTAACATTAGTATATGACATAAATTGGGATTGATTGACGTATTCAATTGTTTTTGGTCACTTCCTGTTTCACAGGAAATGACTACTACTTTTGATTTTTAAATGCCATCCCCGGTATATTTTTACATTATTCGATAGAAAATGATATTCTGAATAGGATGATGTATCATATGTCAACTTTTGACATTCTCGCTTAATAAAAAATCATATTTTAAATCTCAATCTAGAGTGCCATGGCTATGTTAAAAACACTAATTCTTAATCAAGGAGCCTTAGAAAAATAGATTTGATCGTCTAATGTTTTTGGTATTTTGTCCTGGCCGGTTAAAAAATGCCCAAATCGTATTTTTAATCATATCTCAGTTTTTTCAAATGGAATGAGGGTAGCTGATTAGCATATTTGGAAAAAGCATTTTTTACGAATAATTTGATACCACACACTTGGTACTTCAAGTCAAATTTTTGTTACGAACCGCAAGTTATAATTTCAAATAAACCATATGCGAAAATGTCACAAGTTGACATATGATATGTCATTCTATTCAGAGTGTTATTTTCTATCGAATAAAG